CCAGGGGGGGACATGGGATTTTAATTCCATGAAAATGGGGGAATTGCAATTCCATGGAATTGCAATTCCCTCCAACCAAACTACGGAATTTAATGGCCTTTGGAATTAGGTGGGAATTAAGTGGGAAGGGAATTTAAAATCCCTCCAACCAAACACCCTGTAAGGGCCCCCCAACACCCAGACCCGATAGAGTATTTGGGAGGCTGTAAATCACTATTTCATATTCTAATATTATAAAATAGTGTAATACAATTCCTAATAGAATATATTGTTTCCTACTTTCCTATATGTATTACAATTCTAAATTAAAATTCTCATTCAAAATACAGTACAACAATATTAAAATTCATATTTCTATTCAACAATATTATATTATTTCTTTTCCCGTTAAAAATTATATTCTCCATTATTAGTTTTGTAATTCTCCGTTAAATTTACTAAATTTCAAACTTCCATTAAAACTCAACTACCTGGCTGAATAATAGTCTGAGAATATAAATGGCACGGAAATTAGGCCAATTGAAAAAAAGAAATGAATATTAATAATTGACTAAAAATTAAACAAGATCCCCAAATTAACTATTTCAAAAAGGAAACGGATTAACTATAGTATAGGTAAATTGGAAAAAAAGTATCTATTATTAATATTTTACTAGAAATATATATAAAAATATGTTATTAATAATTAACTAATTAATACATATTAAAAAAAATAATTGGTTGAGAATAAAGATGGCATGAGAATTAGGCCAATTGGAAAAAAATAAATATTATTACTTAATTTAAAATTAAAAATGATCCCAAATTGACTCAAATGAAAAAAAAAAAAGAAATGGCCAGACCGCTTACACAATAGTATATATAAATTGAAAAAGAAATCTGTTATTAATATTTGACTGAGAATATATATGACACGAACCCCTTGACTGAGATTGTTATTAGTAATTTACTGGAAATATAAAAAAAAAAATTGTTATTTTTTTTTTGAAAACAAAATTTTTTATTAATAATTAACTAATTAATATGTATTTAAAAAGAAAAAAATTGTTATTAATAATTAACTAACTAATATGTATTAAAAAGGAATAATTGACTTATGCAGAGTCCCCTTTTGTTTGGAGACAAGATCTGCGTGAAATGACATCCAATGAAGAAAGAATTCTCCGTAGGACAATTGTTCTATGTTTTGTCAGGGTGTGGAGAATTATACTATTTAAGATGCCTTTTAAATCTGGTATGTGGACCTTCTAACCATGAGGATATTATTCACACTGTGCGGGTGTCATTCACAAATCGTTTCGGGATGCATGTTATGAATATGGATTATTAGATGATGACAAGGAGTACATTGATGGCATTACTAACTCGAGTTACTTGGCATCCGCCTATGCTTTGCAACGGTTGTTTGCTACGGTGCTCACTTCAAGTTTAATCAGTAGGCCAGAGGTGGTGTGGAATGCCGTTTGGGAATTTCTTGCGGAGGATGCACAACTTTAGCGTCGACGTCTCATGCAAAATCTAGATATATCGGCATCCAATCTATTTAATCGACTTTGTTATTTGCTTATCATTATTTCAAAATAAACTAATTTGTTGATTTTTTTCTTTTTTGGTGTATGAAGAGTTGGTGTTATCGAATTCAGATAATAAGAAACAGTTCGCTCTGGTGGAATTAGAGAAGTTGCTATCTCTGTGGGGTGGGGAGGGGGTGGGGGGAGAGCTTGAGGGACTTTCCAGAAATGCCAATTCGAAACAAAAGCAGCATGGGTTTGATGGAAAACATGTTGATAGCTGAAGAGTTGGTGTATGACAAGGAATCGTTGAAGATAGAGCATGAAGGTACATAATTGACGGACGAAAAAAAAAAAGAATGTCTACGACTCTGTGCTGAATGATATTGATTCTAATGGAGATGGATTGTTCTTTGTGTATGGTTACGGTGGAACAGACAAGATGTTAGTGTGGAGAACGTTATTTTCAAAGATAAGGAGGCGCGGTGATACTGTTCTCAACGTTGCTTCGAGTGAAATAGCATCTTTGCTCTTGCAAGGTGGCAGGACGACGCATTCCAGATTTGCTATACCATTCTCTTTGGGCAATATATCGTGACCTTGCTAAGCTTATAATAAGGAGCAAATTGATAATATGGGACGAAGCAGCGATAACGCACAAACATTGTTTTGAGGCTTTGGATAAAACCATGAGGGATCTTTGGGGTTCGCCATACCGGGTAGTGACGAAAAGATATTTGGTGGAAATACAGTAGTTTTGGGCGGCGATTTTAGACAGATTCTTCCCGTTATTCCGAAAGTAACTAGACTAATAGTTGTCGCAGCCAGTACATGTATGACATGAATACTGCAGAAGGTCGAACATATTTAAGTTGTGACTCTTTGTGTAAGGCAGAATTAGATGGTGAAAATCTATCAGAAGTACACACTCCTAAATTCGTAAATAGTTTGAGATTGTCTGGACTTCCTAATCATTCATTGGAATTAAAGGTTGGTGCACCTGTTATGTTATTGGAGAATATAGACCACTCTATTGGTCTTTGCAACGTTACATGCTTCTTTGTCACAAGATTGTCCGATCACATTGTCGAAGCAAGAATAGTTAATGGGACTAATGAAGGAACCAAAGTTCTTATCCACTAAATGTCTCTCACTCCTTCTGATACAAGATTGCCCTTCAAGTTCCTGCATAAATAATACGCATTTATGATCGAAAATGTCATGACTATCAACAAAAGCCAGGGACAACCAGTAACTCACGTTGGGTTATTGCTGAAAAACCGGTCTTTAATCACTGTCAATTGTACATAGTTTTTTCTCGAGTCACCCATCCTGATGGCCTGAAGGTGTTAGCTCTAGACAAACATGGACAAGATTCTGTTGCTACTACCAATGTCGTCTACAAAGATGCTTTCAATAATGTGTAATTCCAACCAATGATATTATGTTTTCTTTTTATGCGAAAATGACAAAATCGATATATATCTACACAGAAAATATATCTTCCATACAAATAAATTAGGATAGCAAATGATTTCTATAATTGAGTTGCTAGACAACGAGCAAATTTTCCCAATTAATACAAATCCTAAACAATGATATATAAATTCTCTAAAGTTTGAGCACCGGATTCGTACATATACACATTAGCTATTAATTGGGTAATTATTTGTTCAAATTCAAGCAATGATAATATCATAAAATACAATCGATCGAACTCAATTCTTCAATTGTATTATATGAATATATAATATTCAATGTTATAATTTATATAATTGTATATCGATCCAAATATTCTTAAAATATTATAACAAATTCATTCCGTGCACCGCACGGGTGAAATACTAGTTTTAATAAAGATATAATTGTACATTACTTTACAAATATTAAACTATTATTTTTTTATTAGACAATATTGTTTTTACATCATTATCCGACCTACGTGACCTAACTACAATGTTGTTGATAAAAACTACAATTACACTTGGACTCTAAAACGGTAGGACCATTTTCCAACAAATTAACAACGTTGACATCCCACTGGCTCTAATTGAACAAGTTTACACATCATTCTCAGAATTTTATCAATGCATGAAAACTTCTAAAGAAATTTGTAAGTTAATTTTTCCTATATTATTATAACAATATCTATTGTAATCAGTAATCATATATTTCAAATTATGTATTATCATCCTCTATTCACAGCAATTGTCATTAACAAATTCACTACAAGAAAAATCGCGAATCGCGACGGAATTTTTCCGTCGCGAATGGCAAATATTCCGTCGTGAATCGCATTTCGCGACGGAATTTATTCCATCGTCTATCACCTTTTCGTATTTTGATAGACGATGGAATAATTCCGTCGCAACTTTTGGCGACGGACTTAGCGACGGAATATTTCTGATGCTATTTGGCGACGGAAGTATTTCATTGCGATTCCGTCGTCCATTTCGCAACGGAACTGTTTCCGTCGCAAATACGTCGTTATTTCTGAATCGGATATTCCGTCGCCATATTATCTTTTCCGTTTCCAATTCTGTCGCCCATTTCGCAACAAAAATGTTTCCCGTCGTAATGCCGTCGCATCATTTGCAACAAATATTTCATCGCAAATCTTATATTCCGTCGCGATTCCGTCACGTTTTTGAATTATTTTAAAATAAATTTGTGATTTTAAATAGTAATGAATGTTTTTAAAATATCTTATTTACCTATATCTCAATCATAGCAATTAAACAAGGCTGGGAAAAAAAGGAGCATGGAGATGACGATGATGCTTTATTATTTAAAATTTCAAAACTAAAACGAATGGTTTAACAGGATGCATCATTAGTCTCTCTAACGGCTACACTACAGTAATCATGTACACATGATTTTCAAATACTTCTACATGATGGTATCACTGGGAATCAATGCATCCTTGATGATTGTGACGATTTCACTTTTAATGAAATATCCTTCAGTTTCCCTAGCTGCTTCTTGAACATTTTCACTGTTAATGATCTAAAACAATCAAGAGTCAAGTTAGATGCTTCTTTATGTTACACGTGCACAGGAAGATTGAGCACATTGGTTCACTAGATTAATGGCCAAGTTTTTAAAAGCAAAAAGAGGAGAAGAGCATAAAACTATTTGATACCGAACCTTCACATCATTCCCAATACGAGCATATTCTTTTCAATGATTTCTCTTTTGATGTGTGAATTCCTGCCAATTCCAATTGGAACACTTCCCTTTGCAGCCAGAAGCCTCCTATCAGCATTCGTCTGAAGCAAGAAACCAAAGGATGTGAAAATGGCTATAAATTGCTAAAGGGAGAAAGAAGCATAACAACAACAAAGAGTATGATATCCATTAGATCATGAACTAATAAAATATCGCATCCTGCCCAAAAGCCAATTTCAGCCCAACAGGAATGCAAATTCATTCAGTATCTACATGGATGATTACCTTATAGTAATCTGCTCCCATCAATAATGTATCTTCTATAATTGCTCCCTCCGATATGCATGATCTAAGTCCAACCACAGAATGGTGAATTTTACAGTTCTGCACCAAACAACACACTTGTGAAGACAGACCATATAGGTTTCATAGTACTGTGTAGAGTAAGGTTAGTCATGATGTACTGAAACAGAATCCAATAAAAACAAGTGAACTCTCAGATCAAAATAGTTTTAAGCCTCTCGGAAAAAGTAGACGCATCACACTATGATATGCAATGACACAAATTATGATGCTCTTTCTTTTCCTGGTGGGCAAACTAGAGCAGTATAAGGTTGCACCAAAAAAATTATAATATGTAAGGATTTACAACCAAAGTTCAATTCACTTACCTTGATTACACAACCTTCACCAATAACGCCGTCTGTGACATCAGCATCAAGCATTATAGAAGGATGTAAATATCGAGGTTGAGTGTAAATGGGAGCTGATCGGTCATAGAAGCTTCAAGAAGGCATTGAAGACTTTTAGTGCTATAAATTAAAGCATCACAGTCAAGAAATCAGTCTACAATACTGTTGTGTTGGGCTTCCCTCCAATGTGGTAAATAGCCCAGTGGTTCAAAAAAAGAAGCACCAGTGGTCTAGTGGTAGAATAGTACCCTGCCACGGTACAGACCCGGGTTCAATTCCCGGCTGGTGCACACAATTAATTGACGACAAAAGCTGTGCGGGCTAGATGAGTCCCTGGTAAAGGACACTCCAAATATAGAGACTTATTGCCCATTCGTACTCTATCAGGGACACATTGACTGTAGAGCCAGGTTACCCGGGTGCCCGTCACTTACTTGCTAAGTGTCTTTTAGCAGTCAGAACCGACTACCTCCGTTCTTCCAGGCCGAGGGCCGGATGGGGGTATCTATCACATGATATACAAACTTGTGTTCGATTTCATTAGTTTATTCGTTTTGATTGAGTACGTTTATTTTGTGCCTAAAAAAGAATTTCAAAAGTATTCATTTATGTTATCATTCTCGCATGGCTCTTATTTTGGTGTGTATATAAAAATTCCATTATTCAATATCATATATAGGAAAAAAATGCGTAGAGGGTATGTCATAAGAGATTATTAAAAAATCACTTCTACTTTTTACAAATGTCTAAAAAGTAGTATAATAAGATAAAATTTCTTTATTTTGTTCTGTGTTTTTTTTTTTTAATTTCATTTTTGCATTTTTATCTTCTTGCACTCTTGATGATAAGACATTCTTTTCATTTTTCTTTTGTCACATCTTTTGATAATAACTTGTCACTGATCTTTGGCTTAATATGATTTTATCTATTTAAATATTTTACTGTAAAACTTGATTATGTTGATCATTAATCTGTAGTCCTTTGAATAATACACTAGTAATTCTCCTAAATTTCTTGATAGGACAGGTTCATCTTGACAATATTTTGATAATCTCTTGATTTAGAGAACTTTTGGTACTACGCCACTACGAAGTATAAGTAATTCAGTGGTTTAAAAAAAGAAGCACCAGTGGTCTAGTGGTAGAATAGTACCCTGCCACGGTACATACCCGGGTTCGATTCTCGGCTGGTGCACTCAATTAATTGATGACAAAAGCGATTCCCAGCTGGGGCGCTCAATTAATTAACGACAAGGCTAGCTGAGTACCTGGTTAAGGATACTCCGACTATAGAGATTGGTTGCCCATTCGTACTCGATCAGGGACACACTGACTGTAGAGCCAGGTCACCCGGGTGCCCATCACTTACTTGCTAAGTATCTTTTAGCAGTCAGAACCGACTACCTCCGTTCTTCCAGGCCGAGTGTCGGATGGGGGTATCTATCACATGATATAAAAAAAGAATTTCAAAAGTATTCATTTATGTTATCATTCTCGCATGGCGCTTATTTTGGTGTGTATATAAAAATTCCATTACTTAATATCATATATAGGAAAAAAATGCGTAGAAGGTATGTCATAAGAGATTATTAAAAAATCACTTCTACTTTTTACAAAAGTCTAAAAAGTTGTATAATAAGATAAAATTTCTTTATTTTGGTCTGTTTTTTTTTTTTTTTTTTTTTTTTTCATTTTTGCATTTTTATCTTCTTGCACTCTTGATGATAAGACATTCTTCTCTATTTTCTTTTGTCACACCTTTTGATAATAACTTGTCACTGATCTTTGGCTTAATATGATTTTATCTATTTAAACATTTTACTGTAAAACTTGATTATGTTGATCAATCATCTGTAGTCATTTGAATATTACAGTGGTAATTCTCCTAAATTTCTTGATAGGACAGGTTTATCTTGAAAATATTTTGATAGTCTATTGATTTAGAGAACTTTTGGTAAGACGCCACTACGAAGTATAAGTAATTCAGTGGTTTAAAAAAAGAAGCACCAGTGGTCTAGTGGTAGAATAGTACCCTGCCACGGTACAGACCCGGGTTCTATTCCCGGCTGGTGCACTCAATTAATTGACGACAAAAGCGATTCCCAGCTGGTGCACTCAATTAATTGACGACAAAAGCTGTGCAGGCTAGTTGAGTACCTGGTTAAGGACACTCCGACTATAGAGTGTCCAACTATAGAGATTGATTGCCCATTCGTACTCGATCCGGGACACACTGACTGTAGAGCAAGGTCACCCGGGTGCCTATCACTTACTTGCTAAGTGTCTTTTAGCAGTCAGAATTCCCACACTGACTGTAGAGCCATGTCACCCGAGTGCCCATCACTTACTTGGTAAGTGTCTTTTAGCAGTCAGAACCGACTACCTCCGTTCTTCCAGGCCGAGTGTCGGATGGGGGTATCTATCACATGATATAAAAAAAGAATTTCAAAAGTATTCATTTATGTTATCATTCTCGCATGGCGCTTATTTTGGTGTGTATATAAAAATTCCATTACTTAATATCATATATAGGAAAAAAATGCGTAGAAGGTATGTCATAAGAGATTATTAAAAAATCACTTCTACTTTTTACAGAAGTCTAAAAAGTTGTATAATAAGATAAAATTTCTTTATTTTGGTCTGTTTTTTTTTTTTTTTCATTTTTGCATTTTTATCTTCTTGCACTCTTGATGATAAGACATTCTTCTCTATTTTCTTTTGTCACACCTTTTGATAATAACTTGTCACTGATCTTTGGCTTAATATGATTTTATCTATTTAAATATTTTACAGTAAAACTTGATTATGTTGATCAATCATCTGTAGTCATTTGAATATTACAGTGGTAATTCTCCTAAATTTCTTGATAGGACAGGTTTATCTTGACAATATTTTGATAGTCTATTGATTTAGAGAACTTTTGGTAAGACGCCACTACGAAGTATAAGTAATTCAGTGGTTTAAAAAAAGAAGCACCAGTGGTCTAGTGGTAGAATAGTACCCTGCCACGGTACAGACCCGGGTTCGATTCTCTGCTGGTGCACTCAATTAATTGACGACAAAAGCTGTGCAGGCTAGTTGAGTACCTGGTTAAGGACACTCCGACTATAGAGTGTCCGACTATAGCGATTGATTGCCCATTCGTTCTCGATCCGGGACACACTGACTGTAGAGCCAGGTCACCCGAGTGCCCATCACTTACTTGCTAAGTGTCTTTTAGCAGTCAGAACCGACTACCTCCGTTCTTCCAGGCCGAGTGTCGGATGGGGGTATCTATCACATGATATAAAAAAAGAATTTCAAAAGTATTCATTTATGTTATCATTTTCGCATGTCGCTTATTTTGGTGTGTATATAAAAATTCCATTACTTAATATCATATATAGGAAAAAAATGCGTAGAATGTATGTCACAAGGGATTATTAAAAAATCACTTCTACTTTTTACAAAAGTCTAAAAAGTAGTATAATAAGAGAAAATTTCTTTATTTTGGTGTGTTTTTTTTTTTTTTTTCATTTTTGCATTTTTATCTTCTTGCACTCTTGATGATAAGACATTCTTTTCATTTTTCTTTTGTCACATCTTTTGATAATAACTTGTCACTGATCTTTGGCTTAATATGATTTTATCTATTTAAATATTTTACTGTAAAACTTGATTATGTTGATCATTAATCTGTAGTCCTTTGAATAATACACTAGTAATTCTCCTAAATTTCTTGATAGGACAGGTTCATCTTGACAATATTTTGATAGTCTCTTGATTTAGAGAACTTTTGGTACTACGCCACTACGAAGTATAAGTAATTCAGTGGTTTAAAAAAAGAAGCACCAGTGGTCTAGTGGTAGAATAGTACCCTGCTACGGTATATACCCGGGTTCAATTCTCGGTTGGTGCACTCAATTAATTGACGACAAAAGTGATTCCCAGCTGGTGCACTCAATTAATTGACGACAAGGCTAGCTGAGTACCTGGTTAAGGATACTTCGACTATAGCGATTGATTGCCCATTCGTACTCGATCAGGGACACAATGACTGTAGAGCCAGGTCACCTGGGTGCCCAGCACTTACTTGCTAAGTATCTTTTAGCAGTCAGAACCGACTACCTCCGTTCTTCCAGGCCCAGTGTCGGATGGGGGTATCTATCACATGATATAAAAAAAGAATTTCAAAAGTATTCATTTATGTTATCATTCTCGCATGGCGCTTATTTTGGTGTGTATATAAATATTCCATTATTTAATATCATATATAGGAAAAAATTGCGTAGAAGGTATGTCATAAGAGATTATTAAAAAATAACTTATACTTATTACAAATGTCTAAAAAGTTGTATAATATGATAAAATTTCTTTATTTTGGTCTTTTTTTTTTTCATTTTTGCGTTTTTAACTTCTTGCACTCTTGATGATAAGACATTCTTCTCTATTTTCTTTTGTCACACCTTTTGATAATAACATGTCACTGATCTTTGGCTTAATATGATTTTATCTAATTAAATATTTTACTGTAAAACTTGATTATGTTGATCAATCATCTATAGTCATTTGAATAATACAATGGTAATTCTCCTAAATTTCTTGATAGGACAGGTTTATCTTGACAATATTTTGATAGTCTATTGATTTAGAGAAATTTTGGTAATACGCCACTATGAAGTATAAGTAATTCAGTGGTTTAAAAAAAGAAGCACCAGTGGTTTAGTGGTAGAATAGTACCCTGCCACGGTACAGACCCGGGTTCGATTCCCGGCTGGTGCATTAAATTAATTGACGAAAAAAACGATTCCCAGCTGGTGCACTCAATTAATTGGCGACAAAAGCTGTGCAGGCTAGCTGAGTACCTGGTTAAGGACACTCCGACTATAGAGTGTCCGACTATAGAGATTGATTGCCCATTCGTACTCGATCAGGGACACACTGACTGTAGAGCCAGGTCAAGACACTTACTTGCTAAGTGTCTTTTAGCAGTCAGAACCGACTACCTAGAAAAAAAAAATCACTTCTACTTATTACAAATGTCTAAAAAGTAGTATAATATGATAAAATTTCTTTATTTTGGTCTTTTTTTTTTTC